GCGCAGCAGCAGCAAAAAGGAGAAAGGAGACAGGTGAAGCAACGAAGAGACAGTTGTGAGGTGTACGTACAGCTGAGGGCCCCTCAGGCTGATCAGCAGCAAGCAAGGCGCAGCTGCAGCCAGAAAATACAAACAGCAGCACATCTCCTGCTGCTGCATCCTCTGCTAACCACTCCAGACCTTGCTGCACACACAGCAGCAGCAAACATGTTTCCCTCATGCCCTTCAAGCAGCACCAAAGCGTCACCCGCTGCAGCAGCAGCAACAGCAGCAGCAGCAGCAGCAGCAGCACAAGTTCACCAGTATGTTCTCCTGGCTGGGATGCTGAAAGGAGACAGCAGAGTCGAGAGGAGTGCTGTCCCCAACCTCGCTCAAGGTCCTGCATCCACAGACCAGCAGCAGCAGCAGCAGCAGCAGCAACAGCAGCAGCAGCAACAGCAGCAGCGACGGAAGCAGCGCGAAAAGCAGACGTCCATACACTCTCACGATCCTGTTTCTGCTGCAGTAGCAGCTGACTTCCCTTTATTCTCAGCTGCAGCCGTTGCTGCTGCTGCTGTCTCTGCTGCGGCTGCTGCTGCATCTGCTGCTGCATCTGCTGCTGCTGCTTCTGCTGCTGCGGCTGCTCACCGGACTTCTGTGAATCCCAACGACTCAGAGGCGATCGTCGCCCATCGCCTGGCATCTGCTGCTGCTCCTTCTGAAGGGTGATGCATGCAGCAGCAGCAGCAGCAACAGCAGCAGCAACGGCAGCAGCAACAGCAGCAGCCACAGCAGCAGCAAAGCCAACAGCAGCAGCAGAAACCGAGGTGAATTGTGCAGCAGTCGCAACAAGAGCAGCAGCATCACCAAGCTCGTAAGTAAACGAAGCAGCAGCACCCGCAGCCGCAGCACAAAGTCAGCAGCAGCATTTGTAGCTTTAGCAGCAGCAACAGGAGCAGCAGATGAAGCAGCAGCAGCAAAAACAGTAGCAGCAACAGCAGTTGCTATAAAAGCAGCGGGAGTTAGAGCAGCAGCAGAAGCACCAGCAGAAGCACCAGCAGCAGCAGCAGCAGCAGCAACAGAAGCAGCAGCAGCAGCAGAATCAGCAGCAGCAGCAGCAGCAGCAGCAGCAGATTCTTACTTAGCTCACAGAAGCTCCCTTTGTACAAACACCCCACACACAAGGCCTTCCTTCGAGGCCCCCTTGGCGCTGCACGCTGTGCAGGCGTCAGGTACCTGCTGCTGCTGCTGCTGCTGCTGCTGCTGCTGGGAGCTTGTATTGCAGCATTTGCTGCAGTCGCTGCTATGGTTCTTACATCCTTAATAAGGTAAAAAGGAGACAGTGAGGGAGCAGCAGCAGCAGCAGCAGCAAAATGAACAAACCCAAACAAAGTCTGCTGTTGAGCAAAGGCAGGAAACGTCCGCCACGGTTGCTGCTGCTGCTGCTGTTGCTGTTGCTGTTGCTGCTGCTGCTGCTGTTGCGGCAGTTGAGGCCAATGAGCCCGAAGAGGCAGAGGGTGCTGCAGCGGTGCTGCTGCTACCTGCAGCAAATCAGGGCCCTGTGCTGCTGCAGCAGAAGAGCAAGGCAACGCTTGTGTTGCATGCGGATGCTGCTGGATTGCTGCTGCTCTTCGTTCTGCCGCTGCTGCTGCTGTTGCTGCTGCTGCCCATAGATTGGCTGTGCTGCTCGTCAGTGGCTGCTTCTGTCTCTCTACTGCTGCTGCTGCTGCAGCAGCAAAGAACTCCCTCCTTTCTGGGGTCTCCCTGAGCAGATGCTGCAAACGAGAGTGTTGCTCTGCTGCTGCTGCTGCTGCTGCTTCTGCTGCTGCTGCTGCTGCTGCTGCTGCAGGGGAGCGAAAGGAGACACCAAAGACAGAGTGGCCTTCAGATGCTTCGAAGACTGCAGCAGAAGGTCGTTGGTGAGAATAAGCTGCTGCTGCAGCATGCGCAGGCGTTTGCTGCTGCTGCCGCTCCATTTCTGCTGCTGCTGCTGCTGCTGCTGCTTGTGCTGCTCCCATCGTGTCTTCACCGCTTCCATCTGCCTCTGGAGGCGTTGCTTCTGCTGCTGCTGCTGCTGCTGCTGCTGCTGAGGTATGCAGGAGTTTGTTGTCTTGTATCCTGCTGCTGCTGCTTGCTGTGTATGCGCAGCAAACCCCGTGAAGCTGGCTATACACCTCAATATCTGGGCTTCGGTTAGATGCTGTCCTGCTGCTGCTGCTGCTGCTGCTGCTGCCTTCTGCATACGGAGATGGGGGCCCTGACGAGAGAGAGGCAGCAGCAGAGGGTGCTGCTGCTGGAAGGCGCTGCAGCATAGCAGCAGAAGCAGCAGCAGCAGACGCTTCGTTTGCTGCTGCTCCGTTCTGCTGCTGGAAGTAAATGCCGTTGAGACCGCTGTTGGTGTTATTCCTTAGGCTGCTGTTGCAGTTGCTGCTGCTGCAGTCCCTGCTGCTGCTGCTGTTGCTGCTGCTGCTGCTGCTGCTGCTGCTGCCCCTTCTGTTGCTAAGGAAGTTGTGCTGAGAGAAAGAACCATGCAATGGAGGAGTCCCCTCTTTGTCTCTGTACCCGTTCGTGTTGTTGTTGCTGCTGCTGCTGCTGCTGCTGCTGCTGTTGCTGTTGCTGCTGCTGCTGCTGCTGCTGCTG